TGCCCAAGCGTGCACCTAGCTTTGTTGGAACCGCCAAAGGTTTCTCAGGCGACCGCTTTCCGGTCTCAGCGTATACTTACACAACGGAGCGGTCAACTTTGGCTAGAGATATGGCGTTCACTTTAGCATTCGCCACTCAAAAGATGGCATCTCCCGTTGTTAGTTTCAGATGTAGCGTTCGCGCCTTCATTTAGAAAGAATGTGCCTTGTTGCCATGGTGACGGGAACCATACAAGACGAACTTTATCATGCGGTTGTTGTTGTTGAATTATGTTTATTGATGAGATGAGTGGTTCGGCTGTCTTGGTGGGGTGGCCTGAGACAGGAAGGGGGGGCATGGGGTTTTAGGGAAGGAAGGGAATGAATGATGTGAAAAAAAAATTAATGTGATGATGGGTCCCCGTCTCCCTGATGTGAGACGAAATTGTAGCCTCAATATCGCAAAGAGATGATATTGGGGCTCCTTAATTTTTCTGCTGCCACTAAATAACTTTCCGGTGTTTACAAATCACAGTCCAGCGTGCAATATTCACAACCCAGCACGTGCGCGTTCACCGCTTCAAAAAGCGAGCGGAGCACGCTCCCATACACACGAATACTCAAAATAACACCAGCCCCAAGTTTGTTTGGTTTTCTTTTTCGTGTTTTTTCTTTTTTTTAAATCTATACGAGTAGTTTTTTTTTTTTTTTGAGAAAATGCAGATACCGATTTAAGGCAAGCCGTTTCGCTGCGCAGCTAAATATAGTTCAAAGGAAACATTTTGCTACGGATAGCTGCACAAAAATAAATAAGATCGTAATTTTTTGCCTTGATTCCGCACAATTGCTTGATATTATAGTCAGGATGTCTCAAACAAAACTTTTCTTTTTTTTTTACTCCTTTGGGTTTTCCTTTTTTTTTTTTTTTTGCCGCGGGTTTTCTGTACTTAGCTCCTTCGTAACTTGGTAAATGGCGATTGCTACAGTCAAAGCGAGCCACTCAGCACGTCCTAAAGAAACATGTAACTCACTAGGTGCGCGCATTGCTGTCAAGGACATGGGCGGGAAAGAGAAGAATTCCGCTTTTGTACAAATTTTTGTTACCGGTTAAAATTCGGCGGAGAGAAATAGACGTCCGAGTTCCTCCCTCCCCTCTTCTTCAACTGTTCGGTTTAGGCTTCGCCTCCGCCACACTGCTCGGCTCGAGGGTGCTGTAGGGTTCGCTCTTTGCCAAGTTACGGTGAAGTATAGTTTCCTGCAGAACAAGCATGGCCTCCATCGCATGTGCAATGGGCAGAGGTGTGGTTTGAGCTACGTGCTTTGAGCCCAGGATTCCTGGGTTCTTCATTACGAGTTTCGGCTATGCATTTGCCGAGCAGTGGTGCGCATCCGACTCCCCCTAGAGCCAGCAGGAATTGGACGCGCTCAAAATGCGATTTTACTTTGCGCCGTACCTCGTGCTTGTTCCGAGTTCGGTGTTTGGAGCTTACACTGATTTTTCAAAGCCAGAAGTGTTAACATTACAATAACCTCAAAACTGCAGTGACGGTGAACTGCACGGCATTTCTTAAATTGGCATAGCATACCTGCGTCGGTCGCAAGAAAAAATTGGACGAGATCGACCACGGAGTAATTAACCGTGGAGCTCGGATGCCGTGGACGATGTACGGTGGGAGAGTTTGTACCCTTTCAAAATGCTCGCATCCGGCACGTAGATTGCAGAGGACGAGCTCATCGCAGTGCTTGATCCATCTGTGTATATCTGGATGGCGTTCTTGTAGTTCTTTTCAATGTAATATTGAGTGAGAAGCCGCTTCACAAAGCCGAAGGCTGTGCCTTTGCCTACGTCCGTTATTGAGAGGTGGACCGTATGGGGTCAGCCCTGTCCAAGGTGCTCGCTGGGGGTGACGATATGGTGCAGCGTTCGCCGGAAAGGCTTCGACGTGGTTTCTTACCACTTCTGCAAAACTCGACGCTGGACGTGAGGTGTGCAGGCCCGCCAGATGATGCACCTCGTGCTGGGTTGAAAAAGGACTGTAGTGCCGGAAGGTCTCTTGAACACGGAGCTCCTCTATATGTTGTTCGTGCGCTTCTGCTACAACTGCAGAAGGCGACGCTCGGGGCACTCCCAGCACAACGCAGAGGATTCTTGCCTGCAGTGCCAAGAGTCGCCGTTGGGTTGTTGAACTGACCCGGTGCAGGAAAGGCAGACTGTAGCGCAGACTTCCCAGTACCATTGATCTGTGTTGCTGCATGAGGGCGGCTGAATTTCCCCATGTCGAGCCAGGAAGGCACTGCATGATGTTCACGTACGAGTTGCCCTTTGTGGTGGGGTTGCCTTGCTGCATGCCCATCCGGGAGGAACAAGACGGAGCCGGGGTTTCCAAAACGAGAAACTACATTTATTAAAGTAACGGGAATGGATTGTTAGTATCAACGTAAAACATTGCCGGAGCGTTCGAACTGCACGCCTCCGAGGCCACGGTCCGTCTCCCCTACTGTGGGCGTGTTCCCCTCTTTCATGCACTTGCGCGGCCGGACGTTTGCGCGGCCCAGATGTTCTCCGGGTGGTCGTAGCGGCCCCTGGTGGTGGTGGCCGGCCCTCGCTCCCACACTTCCCCCCCCCCCCCCCCCTTTAAGCGTCTGGCATGTCGATGCCAGTGTTGTCGTGGTCGTCCTTGGCAGGGAGTCGTCGTCGAGGGTGTGGACGGCGGCGCTGTATCGGCGCTAGGGCGCGCTCCAGGTCGCGGTTCTCCTTTGGTGGCCGTTTCCGGAATCGCCGGCAGTTGCAGTTTTCGGTGCCTTCTTGCCCACTGGCCGCAGTTCCGTGGGGTGGGCCTCGCTGGTTGCCGCCGTGACTGGTACCGCCACGTGTCCTGGGACCCTGGCGACCAGATGCCGGGGATTGGTGGTGGCGTCGCCCATGATCCATCTTCGTGAATCAGAGCAATTGCCATGGGTTACTCTCATGTTAACCCCTGGCTCTATGATGCATAAAAAAAAGGATAAAGGATCTGGGGTGGGCACAATCGTCCAATATTTCCCCCTCTCCCCCCTCAGAAAGGCGATCACACCCGTGGGATGATATACGATCGAGGTACAACGCTCCAAACCCGAAAAAAATAAAAAAATAAATAATAATCTTGTCCACCGCTTTACAACTTCTCAGCCGTCACCGACGTCGCAGGTTGTACCACCTGTGTGGCGGCGAGGGGGGGCCCGGGAACGGGCCGTCGTCGGCATCGGTCTGATCCTGCGAAAAACCATCTTCCGGGATGTGGAATTGTTTAAGGTCGGTGACATGAGTTGGTCCTGTGGACTCACCACTGAAATGGTGAATTAGCGTGTATGTAAGCGGGGAAAGCTTTTTGCCTACACGAGATGGACCATCCCACCTGTTGGCCAGTGAGGCCGTGAAGCCTTTCGCCGCGTCACTCAGGGGGTGAGTGCGCCTGAGCACCAAGTCTCCACCTCGAACTGCAGGTCTCGGCGTCCCTGGTTGTACTGGTCGAATTGCTGCAGTTTGGCAACGTCAAGGTTCTCCCGGGCTTCCTTGAGGTTGACGGTGAAACGCTTTCGCAGGTCGTCTGCGAACTTTGTGTAGTTGCGGTCCTGTGCCCTGGGCTCTGTCGAACGGAGAGTGTTAGTGAGAGGGAAAGCAAGCTCTCTGCCAAAATTAAGCTGGGCAGGGGTGAGCCAGGTTAACCGGTTAACCGTGGTGCGAGTGGCGAAGGCCATTTCTGGGAGCTTCGCATCCCAGTCTTTGTGGCGCTCCGTATGAGCAACAAGCATCATCTTAAGGTTTCGATTCACCCTTTCGGTTATATTTGCCTGTGGATGATACGGCGAAGTCCGTTTATGTTCAATTCCCAGAACCGCGCATGCCTCAACGAACACTTTGCTCGTAAAATACGACGCATTATCCGAAACTAGGCTTGCCGGGAAACCAAAACGCGCGAAAACATGAAGTAGGCAGTCCCATATTTTCTGCGAATCCAACTTTAGCAAAGGGAACAGCTCCACCCATTTGGTGAAATGGTCTGTTACTACGAACAAGTACTGGTTTCCGCGTGGGCTACGTGGAAATGGACCCATGACGTCACAGCAACAGATCTGCCAAGGGCTCTGGCTTGCGATCGGTTGCATGAGACCCGGGGGTTGACCACCACGTGGCTTCGATTTCTGGCACGACGGGCAACTACGCGCATACCTCAGTACATCTTGCCGCATGCCGGGCCACGTCGCAATCTGGAACAACTTATCGTAAGTCTTGCTCCCACTGCTGTGTCCGGCTAGGGCAGAGCTGTGCATGTATCGGATGAAAAGCTTACGTAGCTTGCGGGGTATCACGGTCCGGAATGCTGAACCATCCGGATCGTCGTCGGCCTGGGGGATCTAGCGCAGCAGGAGGCCGTCGTCGCTCATCAAGTAGGAGTCGAACTCCGTGTCACTTGGGCGGTCGACTGGGCCGGACGCTGCCAGCCAGGCAGTCACTTGTTGGCACAACCCATCGTCATGCTGGGCCTTGAGACGATCCTCTCTTGAGACCAATGTACCCCACCGTGAGTCAGGTGGTCCCTGTGTTGTATTAACGACTGCGACCAGCCCTGGGGATTCCTGCACGTGGTTCTCAGGAAGGGGGGCGCGGGAAAGTGCATCAGCAATTTGGTTTGTAGCACCCGGCCTGTATACAATAGAGTAATCGTATTGTTGCAGCGTAAGTGCCCAACGAGCGAGGCGACCAGCGGGGTTCTGAAGTCTTTTCAGCCATGACAACGCTAAATGATCACATTGAATTTGGAATGTTGCGCCATCCAAATACATGTCAAATCGCTTTAACGCATACACTATGGCTAAGCATTCCCTTTCTGCAACACTGTACTTACGCTGTGCGGAATTGAGAGTCTGACTTGCGAAAGCAACCGGGCGAAGTATACCATCATGTTCCTGCAGTAAAACAGCTCCGACGCCACAATCGCTTGCATCTGTCTGCAAAACGAATGGTTGGATTAGGTCGGGAAGATGCAGACACGCGTTCTCTGTCACTGCCTTTGATAATGCTGCGAATGCGCTTTGTTGTTGTTCGCTCCAACACCATTTGACGCCTTTTCGAAGGAGGTGATTAAGCGGCTGAGAAATCTCGGAGCAGTAAGGAATGAAATCCCTATAGAATGCAATCATTCCGAGATATCGTTTTAAACTATTCACGTCATGGGGGCGCGGGTACTCAGTTAGTGCGCGCAGTTTTTCTTCGTTGGGACGGAGTGTGCGGCTATCGACAACAAATCCGAGGAGCTTAATTTTGGGCTCGGCCAGTTGAACTTTCCTCGGATTGATTGTTAGGCCCGCGTTCCGCATCCGCTCAAGCACGATAGTCAAGTGTTCAAGATGCTCCTCGAATGTACGCGAGAAAACAACAACGTCATCCATGTATGCCATCGCGAATTCGTGCTTTGCGTTTCCGAGCACAACGTCCATCAGACGTTGAAAGCTCGCTGGCGAGTTGGACAAGCCAAAAGGCAAGCGGGTGAACACGTACAGCCCTCTGTGGCAAATGAAAGCGGTTTTCACCACGTCTAACGGATGCACCTCGATCTGAAGGAATCCGCGGCTGCAATTCAATGTGGTGAACACCGTCGCGTTGCCGAGCGCGTACATTATAGAGGAAATGCTGGCAAAAGGGTAGCTCTCCCGTACAGACACTTCGTTCAGCCGTCTGTAATCTACGCAGAGTCTGGCAGTTCCATCTTTTTTCGGAGCGAGAACGACAGGAAATGCCCAAGGGCTCTTTGACTCACGTACTGCGCCGGTGTCCAGCATCTCCTGAAGGGCCACGTCCAGGAGTTCTCTTTTGTGCACGCTGATGGGGCGTGGATTGCACATCCGAGGCGGTGCGTTACCGGTTTCAATCTGATGCAGCAAGATGTCTGTCTTTCCTGGTCGCTCCGTGAACATCGGAGAGAACGGCCGCAGGACGACCTCCAGCTGTCTCTTCTGGAGGTCAGTGCCCGGACACTTCTGAAGGGTGTCCGAGATTTCGGATGGTAGGGCAGCTGCAGGTTTTGTGAAGTGGGCTGGGAGGGTTGGGCCAGCGATGCAGTTCTCTCGTCTGGTGAACGGAGTCAGGTCCGCCTGGTTTCCCAGACGATAGCCGCCACCGGGGAAGTCGAGCGTCCTGCTTACGCCTGCGATAAAATCTCGACCCAAGATCACGGGTACGGCGAGCCCCGGAAGATACAGAAAGCGCTGACGCCGTTTCTTCTCATTGAATGAAATTTTAAGCCTTACGGCTCCGTCCGCCGATATTGTTGACCCGGAGGCTAACTGCAGACGTGTGTCTGCCAAACGAAAAGTTATTTTTTTTATTTTTGCATAGTTCATAGGCAGCGCCCCCTATAAGCGAGATAGCAGCCCCGGTATCCAAGAGCGCGGCAAAAGGAAAACCGAGCAAAGTGATCGTCATACGTGGCTCGATCATTTCGCTGTTAGGCTGAATTCGACATACCGATGGAACAAGTGACGCTGCGTGCGTGATCCCGGCCGTTGATAGCGGCCATCGGCGGCTCTGCAGTGGGGCTCATTGCCGCCGGCCGTAATAGTTCCCGATTGGGATGGCACGTGACCTTCCGGATTTTCACGGCCCATAGGCGCGCGAGGGTTGACCGGATTTCTACAATCCCTCCGCTCACTTCCAGCCCTTCCGCCATTTGTTTCGTTCTGCCTCGGGTTTCTATTTGGGCACTCTCTTTGGAGGTGGCCGCGCTGTCCACAGTTGTGGCATTGGTCCGAATACCTGCTTGAGTCGCCGGCACCAGGGCGCTCTTCACGTCCTCCAGTGGCCCTGCATTGAACCAAAACTGCAGCGCCTCCGGCTGCTTTGATTGGGCACTCTGTGCCAGTCCCGTGGAGGTCTTAGCGCCGGGATAACCTCGGGGCCCTGCCAAGCACATGCGGGTTCGAGAGAGTTTGCGGCCAAAGGCGGTGGCAGATAGCTCTTCTGAGCGAGGAAGATCTCCTCTGTGCTGCGGGCATGCCGGGCTAGCTCTTCAATGGTCTTAAAGGTGCGGCCGTGTAGCTACACGTGGTACTTTGGGTAACATTGTCTGAGGACCTGAGCTATAATCTCCGACTCGAAGGCATTAGGTTGTGCCCTTCGTGTGAGTTCCTGCAATGCGCGAACATACTGAACCAGGCTTTCGTTCGGATGTTGCGTTCGGGACTCGAGTTCCTTCAAGATTTGTAACTCGTAACCAGGTGGCAGGAACTCGGCTCGGAATTGCCGCTTGAACTCCGCTAGGCTGGTGAACGTAGGTTGCAGCCTTAACCAGCACGCAGCGCTAGACTTTAGAGCGAGTGGGAGTATTCTGCTTATCACGAGGGATTCCGAGGCGCCTGAGGCGGCTTTGTAGACGTCAAGCTCACCCAGAATGTCGGCGACTGACTTGACGTCGTTGTAGCTAGTGTGCACCGGCACCGTCAGCTGGGGACGCAGCTCCGGCTCACGTGACTGCTGCACGGCGAGACGCTGTGTGACCGCTTCACACATGGCTGCCACCTTCAGTAGCAATTCGGCCTGCGCATGCGCCGCGCCTGCTCCGGGATCCATGCTTGCTCCAGGCTTTTCGCCATCCTTCGTCTCAGACCGTAGTGTGGGAGACGTGGCGGAAAAAAAACAGAAACGCCAGGCAGACAAGAAAACGTGTGCGGCAACAGGCGGTATACTCCACTCGAGAAAAATTAACACGCCCCCAGAGCGATAAACACGCCCCCGTGTGACTAAGCAATGTTTTGCGGCTCCAATTCAGCGAGCACTCGCGCTGACGCGAATACCAGCACTACTTGGAAAAGAAACACCGCTGTTGAAAAAAACTTACCGAGAGAAGAAACCCAGCCCCGTGTCGTTCCGACAGACGGGCAGCAAAAGCACGTTGGGCGCCATGTGGTGGGGTTGCCTTGCTGCGTGCCCATCCGGGAGGAACAACACGGAGCCGGGGTTTCCAAAACGCGAAACTACATTTATTAAAGTAACGGGAATGGATTGTTAGTATCAACGTAAAACATTGCCGGAGCGTTCGAACTGCACGCCTCCGAGGCCACGGTCCGTCTCCCCTACTGTGGGCGTGTCCCCCTCTTTTATGCACTTGCGCGGCCGGACGTTTGCGCGGCCCAGATGTTATCTGGGTGGTCGTAGCGGCCTCTGGTGGTGGTGGCCGGCCCTCGCTCCCACACCTTGCATCGAAGTCTGTTCATTTCAGGTGCCCGCGTGAGCCGCCTGTCGATAACTATTCCAAGAAAGGTATGCTTGTTGACGTAGGGGATAATTTGCTCTCCTATGTGTATGAGAAAGCGTTTGCAACTTCGCCTGGTGAAAGCCATAGCGACGCATTCGCTGGGCGAAAGGTATAGGCCTCTGCAGTTCAAGTATCTTTCAATTCTGCTGAGTGCTCTCTGGAGTCTTCCACAGATTACTGCGCGGTTCGGGCCCGAAGACCAGATACACAGATTGTCGGCATACATCGACATCTTTACATGCTCTGAAAGTTCCTGCGGCAGGTGGGCCAGGACGACGTTAAAGAGCGTGGGGCTCAAGAAGCCCCCTTGTGGATCGCCGGCAGTTACGAAGAAACAGTCACTGTTACCTTCTGTCGTGGTTAGGTAAATTGTGCGTCCTTGAAGGTAGTCCAAGTTCCAGTTGTAGATTCGACCACGTACGCGGAGTTTAATGAGGGACGTGAGTTTTTGCTGAGTGTTCCACGCTGTCGAAAGCAGCCTTTATGTCCAGAAACACAGCTACCGTGGAGAGACGACCGCTCCGATGCTGTTCAACATCTCAGACTAAGTCCACGACGCCGTCAATGGCAGAACGGCTACGACGAAACCCCGACATGCACTCGGGGAAGACCCCTGTATTTTTGAGGTACCAGAGTAGACGGTTTAGTATCATACGCTCCATCAACTTCCCAATGCAGCTGGAGAGCGCAATGGGCGGTATGACTCAAGCGACAGAGGCGATTTTCCTGCTTTCAGGATGGGAACGAGGCGAGACTTCTTCCATGACTCTGGAAGCTGTCCTGTGTTCCATCTGACGTTGTAGTGTTGCAGGAGGGCACCGAGCGCAAGGGGTCCCAGATTGGCTAGCGTTTTGTATGGAACACTATCCGGGCCTGGAGAGGTGTGCTGGGAACACTCCTGTAGAGCACTTTTGAGTTCCCTCATGGTAAAACTTCGTCTAGCTCCGGTAGCACGGCGGCTTCAGTGGTTTTCTCGTGTGACAATTCGCTCGCGGGGCGCCGCTGCTGGAGCTGGCTGTTAGAAAGCACTAGCTGCAGCACGCTCAGTGATTCCTTTTGAAAGTGCCAAGGCTCGGAAGGGAAACTCCTGACTGGGTGTTTTCTTGAGCCCTCAGGTCACGTTTCATAGTCTCGTTGACGGCTTGTGAGGGTCCATTGAACCGCAGATACCTCTCCAACGTCGCATAGAGACTCGAATTAAGTGTCGTCGTACGACCGCCAGGGTTCGTCGTGCTTCCGCCCAGTCCGCGCCTTTACCAGTTCGCCTGGCACGTCGTTCAGCACGACGTCGAACCGCTCGCAACTTCTCATAATCTGCGTCGATCGCAAGGTATTTGGCGGGGTGTTTCACCAGTTTCGTGCTGGATGTCAATGATGATGTTATGCAGGCAGTGATGTCTGTATCTCCTGCACCATTTTTATATGCTGACTCTGTTTCGTTTCTGAAACGACTCCAGTCTGTATATGGGATTGTCCGGTTCTGCCTTCTTCCTCCAAAGCCGTCGAGAGATGAGTAGAGGCAGGTGGTCACTGCTCCTGGTGTCAAGATCTGTCATCCATCGGACGGGAAGACGGAAGTCCTCAGAAACTGCAGAGATATCAATGGCGCTCTTGAGCTCTCCCCGAGGAAAAGTGTATGTTCCATCATTAAGGACCTCATGTTCCAATAGCTGAAAATGTCTTCTAGGAGTCTTCCTCTCGCATCAAGTTTATCTCCGCCCCGCAGCGGGTTGTGTGCGTTGACTTCGCCACAGAGAAGAAAAGGTCCATCAATTTCCTGGAGCACGGCCTGAATTTCCTCGCCAGAGAAATTCACTCTTGGCGGAATGTAGATCGCGATGACTGTGGAAGATATGTTTTTGTACTGAAGCTTTAGACACACGTAATCGGCTGTAGTGTGAAGGGAGACTTCTTTCCTGGCAACTGAAATGTCTGTGCACACACACACGGTGATACGACTTTTTTCCCGATCAGGAACGGAATGATGGCACTCATATACGGAGATGCGGAGCGTTGAAGATGCATTTGATTCGATAAAGATATCAATGGGCGTTTCATACTTTTCTGCAAAGTCCCGTATATCAAACAGTTTGTTTCGTACGCCGCGCACGTTCCACTGGAGCAGAGTGCATTCCCGGTATATTTCATGCATAAAGAGTTCTCCTACAGAGTCTAGACGTCGTTCACTAGCGTGCTCTTGAAGTACGATACCTGTGGTGCTCGTTGCGTGTGCTGTAGGTAACTCATTTGTGGAAGTTTGATGCCTAGCAAGCTCCATCGCAGAGCCATTGCTGAACCAGCGTGATTATTTGGAGAATCGCTCGCACCACAGGGGAGTCAAACGGCTTCAGATGTTCCGTGACCACTGGCATTACAGTTCGTGCAAGGGTTCCCAGTGAGGAGATCAGGCTGGGGTTGTTCGTTGCCAGTCGCGCTTCGGGAGGTTTTACGGTTGCTGGCTGTCTGTGATTGCGCTTGAGCAGAGGCATTAAGGAGGCATGACTGTATGAATTCCGCTGTGCTGTGTGCTGCGATGAATGTTGGGATGTACCTTGCTCTATAATGCTATTTGGAGGCTCCACGCGCTGTTCTCTCGAAACACCTTGTTCCCGAGAGGCAGATTCAGGGTTTGATGATGGAAGCCGTGCAGGGTGCGAGCTCCGTCTTTCATTCTGTGATGCGTTGCTCTGCTCGGGTGGGAGGTCCTGCGTCTCATCATAAAGGTCATTGAAACGGTTCTGAAGAACGATCACGTTGTCGTGTTCGATGTTGCGGTGGCCGCGGCTTCGAACGGCAGCTCGGGCAGTTTTGAAGTCTACTTTGTTAATTGTTTTGTACCTGTTTACGGCTCGTTCTTGTTCCCAGATCACACAGTCTTTCGAGGTTTCCTCATGTGCGCCCTTGCAGTTCACGCACTTGGCCCTTTCGGCTTCGTATCTTTCACTCGCGTGGGAGCCAGATCATCTGGTGCACACCTCGGGGCGAGTGCAAACTGCCTTGACGTGTCCGAACTTGCCACACTTTCTGCACTGCGCTGTTCGATCAACGTGTTCCGGTAAAGTCGCAGAAGCGAAAGTGACGCGAACCGTTTCTGCGTCAGCAAAACGACGGACCGGCGTGATTTTCGTCGTCTTCGCGCTTAGGTTCCGAAGCAACACTTTCTCCGAGATGCTTGCGTCAACGTCCCGAATAATGCCCACAGCAGTGTTCAGATATTACAACGGTTAAACCAGCTGAACTATGAAATTAAGGAGAAAGGAGTAAAGACAGGTGATCGCTGGACTACCAACTATTTATTAAAGATTCTTCGTTTTCCTCTCTTTGTCTACTGGCGTTGTGGATACCTTCTCTTCTTTCTACTTGATTTTTTTTTTTGTTCCATCTCGGATACTGGTTTTCCGGAGGAATCTTTTTTCGCTTTCCTGTAGCGCAATAGAGGGTTTACTAACGCAATTTTCTTCTTTATCTTCTATGGCCAAGGCCTCAAGAATTTCACGGGCGAGCTGGTCTTTGTGGTGAGCTAGTATGGTACCCAGGTCGAGCTTGGCCTCGCACGTGCATGCTCGACAATGAGCGGCTAAATGCCCCGGCCCTGTTAGGGCTCTTATGTTTGCTGCGTGCTCACGTGCTCGATCGTTCACGCACCTTCCCGTTTGTCCAATATACACACGCCCACATGACAGTGGTATGTTATACACTACTTCCTTTTCGCATTGGACGTACTTATTCTTATGTTTGGTGTTGCAAGTGCCGGTGTTGTTGGCCTCCCCTAGATTAACCTTCCGGCACATGGCATATCCCTTGTTTGGCTCCGAGCACACTACTTTGACGCCCTGCCTTGTGGCGATCTTTTTCAATCTATGTGTGACTCCATGAATATACGGAACCACCGCGAAAGGTGATCTAGGAACCTTTTTTTGTGTGTTAGTCATTCTTTTGGCTGGATTTCTTGATGTTTTGGCAGAGTTTTTCACAGATGGACGCTAAGAAGGGTCTCGGATACCCGGCCTCATGGAGTCTGGAGATTTGGGTCTTGAAGCTTTGTCCCATCTGATGTGAACATGTTTTTCTGAGGCTAGCTGTGAGAGCTGTGGTGGCGACCCCTTGCTTTACATTTTTTGAATGTTCCGAGTCAAAGGGAAGGAACCCTTTCCCCGATCGCGTTTCGTATCTCCAACAAACGTGTTCCTTTTGGAAGTCTAAGGCCAAATCCAGAAACCTGATAGACTTATCAGCGGGAAGCTCGTATGTAAAGGTGAGGCCCATGCAATTTGTTTGAAAATCCCTAAGAGTGGTGTTAAGGCATCCGTCTGATGTTTCATCAACTGGGGTGGTACATAAAATAAGAAAGTCAGCAACATACCGAAAAATAACTGCAACTCGTGGATCTTTCAAAGCTTGTTGTATAGCAACCCCACAGGCGCCTAAAAAGACGTCGCACGAATATGGTGCCACTTTTGACCCGATGCACACTCCACTCTTCTTGACAAAGTGCGGATCTTGGTAAGTCACTACCGTTGCGGAGAGGTAAACCCTTAAAACCTCCAAGAAGGTGTCAACGCTAACACCTGCTCCATTTTGGAATTTCGCAAGGCCTTGATTTTCAATGGTATTTCTGAGGACGTGCAACAACCTAGCTTGAGGGATGGAGTAGTACATGTCCTGTACGTCCAAGGAAGACCCCGAGACTATACTATTTCCTTTTTCTTCAAGATAAGTTATTACTTGCTCTGAGTTGGGGATCCGGAATGGATCCTCTACGTGTATTTTTGAGAGATGTTGTGCCAAAAACCTTGAAACGGATGCTTGCCACGTTGTCCTCTCGGAGACTATGGCCCGAAAAGGAATGCCTGCTTTGTGAGTTTTGGCGGAGAAAAACACCGAAAGCTGGCCATTTGCCGCTCCTTTGATCTTGGTGCAAAGGCTGGCTTGATTTTGATCGAACAGGTCTAT